GGGCGCACACGCGGGCCGCACGCGCCGCTCTCGGAGCCGGGCCCAAGTTTCCTTTGTTTCCCCAGGACCTGCCATCTTCCCCCCCAAAAAAAGTCGCAGCTTTAGGGGGGCAGTGAGACAGCCGCCAGCATACACAGCCCCAACCCCGCGGGGGGCGCAGCGCCGGGGCCAGGAGTGGGAGCGGGTCGGGGGGGGGGTATGCGGGGGGCCGTCCCTCGGGTTTGGGGGTTTTCTCCGTCGCAGAGGACGGAGCACTGTCCTGGCTTGGCAGAGCCTGGGGCCCTGGCGCTGCCCCCTTGGCAACCGGACCCAGGCGCCGGCTCGGGCCAGCCCTTCCCGGCTGCGCTGCGGGGGACAGAGGCGGCACCCCGGGCCGGGGGCCAGGCTGGGGGTGTGGGAGAGATCGGAGGCCGTCCCGGCTTCCCACCCCCGCCGCTGGCTTGGTATTCGGAGGTGGTACGAGGCGATGTGTGTGCTCACCCACCCGGGCATCTCCTGCCCCTCCTCCGCCCCCTGGGTGCGGACGCGCGGGGTCCCACACTGCAAAGGGCCGGGGCTGGTGGATTGGGACAAAGAGGAGACCGCCCACCCTGACCAGGTCCCCCTCCCCGTGGGACTCGAGTCGCAGAGCCGCCCTCCCCAGGGACTGAGCCCGGGAAAACCTCGCCGGCGGTCCCACCAAGAATTCCTTGCACCTCTTGAATTCCTGGGGACACACTTCTTCCCTGTCCGTTGCAATGGACTTGTGAAAGCTTCCAGGGTAAAGCCATTTACTTTTCCGCGGTCGCCATCCCCTAATGTCGTGAGCTGGTGGCCGTCCTGCAGATTCTAATGGAATATTTCTTCCAATCACTGTATTGTGAACACTTCAAAGTGAGCGCTGGACTCGTGGTACTGGTGACCTATTTGGGTGTGTTGTTGTTTCAGTTGCAGGAGTTAACCTATTTTATTTAACATTTACTCCAGATGTGTTTAGAGTCTTAAAAGCAAAACAGACCCAACCTAGTAAGAATGTGAATGTGTTTAAATTTCACATTTCCAGAACAGTCGTTAAAAAAAAATCCAGGGTTCATTTTATGAGGCAAAGTGACAATGGAATCCACAGTAGCTGCCTGCGACTGAATGGGCGCAGCCCTCGTGGCCAGCCAGCGTCTGCTGCTGTTACTGGGGCTCAGTAACTTTCCACGTTTGGATGTGGTTGGGGACACAGGAATTTCTGTCCGGCACCGCTGGACTGTCGTGTGGAACAGTTGCCACATTGTATAGAAACGCGACTTTTCTGCGCAGATTCGCCACTCCTCTTTTGAAAAAGAACAGTCCTATGCTTGGCTCAGGAGTGGCTAATTCCAAAGACCCTGCCTTGAGAACGCCCTTCCAGAATCTCCCCATAGGGCTGGGCACTGGTGGCTCACACCTGTGATCCCAGCTACCCAGGAGGCTGGGGTCCAAGCATCCAGCCAGCCCAGGCTGGAAAGTCAATAGAACACTAGTTGGAGGGGGAGGGGGAAGCCAGGGACAACACCCAGTCCCTGAGTTCAAGCCCCAGGATTGGCACGCGTGTGTGTGTGTGCGCACGCACACACACACACACATACACACACACACACCAGAATCTGCTTGCTGGCCAACTGGTGGTCTTTGTAGGCTCCATTTATTTTGTTCTTCATCTTTTTCCCCCATAGCTCTCCTCTTCCTCTCCCTCCTCCTCTTCCTCTTTTCTGTACTAACAAAGAAACAGTGAGTGGTTCAGAGTTAGTCTCTGCCCTGTTGGAATGCTGGCTGTGTGACTTTCACTTGAGGCAGAAAGCCTCAGTTTCTTCATCTGTAAAATGGAGACAATAATACCATTGTGAAGTGTATGAAGTGTGTGTGTATGTGAGACAGAGACAGAGACAGAGACAGAGACAGAGAGAGACTGAGAAATACCCACCTCATATAGTAGCTCTCATTGGGCATTTGCTCCTCCACTGAAGACTCCAAGATCTAGAAGGTTATTTACCATCTCTGAACTATGTGATTCAAGTTGAACATAATCCCCAAGATCTATGCTTTGTGAGCCCTCTCCTCAGCAGCGAACAAAGACAAGGCTTACCTCCTCCCGTCCACCAAGAAACTCACACACTCACTTCCTTACCCTGATGTCCTAACTTGGTCAATTCTGTGCCCTGGGGACTTAGCACAGGCAAAGGAACCCTCTGAACCCATCCCCAACCAGTTCCTACACAGGAACTGTGACTCCAGTGCTGGTGGCTCATGCCTGTAATGGTTCGAAGCCAGCCCACGGAAGAAGGAAGAGGAGGAGGGGGAAGAGGAGGAGGAGGAGGAGGAGGAGGAGGAGGAGGTGGTGGAGGAGGAGGAGGAGAACCTGACTAAAAATTCTCCTTTTGGCTTCTTTTTACTTGTGAGCCCTTCTTCCTATTTTTCCTCCTCCTCTGGTTTTCTATAGTTTTGTTTTTCCCTTAGCTAATAATAACGGGTACCACCGGGTTAAATGGAGAACTTTATCAGTTGCCTTATTGTTGTTCTTTCTTTGAGCAGGTACTGAAGCTTGAATTCAGGGCCTTGAACTCACTTGGCTTACTTGATTACAGCCATGTCTTTCACTTGAGTCATGTCTCCAGTCCAGCATTTTGATGATTACTTAGAAGTAAGAGTTTCTAGCTGGGCACCCTGGGCTCATACTTGTAATTAATCATAGCTAGGAGACTGAAATCTGAGGAGCCCAAATCATAGCCAGTCCAGGCAGGGACATCTATGAGACTTTTATCTCCATTTACCACCAGAAGTAAAGACATGGCTCAAGTAGTAGAGCACTAGCTTTTTTTTTTTTTTTTTTGGTCGGCCGTGGGGCTTGAACTCCGGGCCTGGGCGCTGTCCCTCAGCTCTTCAGCTCAAGGCGAGCGCTCTACCACTTGAGCTACAGCGCCACTTCCGGTTTTCTGGTGGTTTATTGGAGATAGGAGTCTCACGGTCTCTCCTGCCCAGGCTGGCTTTGAACCGCGATCCTCAGATCTCAGCCTCCTGAGTAGCTAGGATTACAGGCGTGAGCCACCAGCACCCGGTAGCACTAGCTTTGAACAAAAATCTTAGGGACGATGTCCAGGTCCTGAGTTCAAGTCCCAGGAGAGTCTGTCCTAAGTAGCTAGGATTACACGTGTGATCCACTGCCCCCCACGGGAGGCTTATTTTAAGACACATGGCGGGTTTCCATTTTATAGAAAGTAGTACATGGGATGATTTTAGAACTGACGAGTTGCATATGTTGATGCATGTGTGAAAAGCCGTAACTCAATTTTTATATTTTTTTCATGAGGTAATATATGACATAATTTTTTCTGTTTTTAAGACATAGTTTTGCTGTGTGTAGCACCGGCTAGCCTCAAACTGGTTCCCCCTCCAAGTGCTAGGATTACAAGCCTTCAACCATACCTGGCTCTGTCACCTAATGTTTTAGTGCTGATTCTCTTCTACAGAACCACACTGAGGAAGCCTAAAGTCATCCAGGGTCACAGCTGAGTTCAAATTCAGATCCATGATTTATTTTTTTATTTTTGTCAGTCGTGGTGCTTGAACTCTGGGCCTGGGCTCTGTCCCTCAGCTCTTCAGCTCAAGGAGAGTGCTCGACCACTTGAGCCACAGCACCACTTCTGGTTTTCTGGTGGTTTATTGGAGATAAGAGTCTCACAGGCTTTCCTGCCGAGGCTGACTTCCAACCACAACCCTTAGATCTCAGCCTCCTGAGTAACTAGGATTACAGGTGTGAGCCACTTGCACTGGGCTGATCCGTGAATTTTTAACAGCCTGATTATAAGGTCCCAACACCCCAAGTACCTCCTCTGTAATGTGGGCTTCACAACACCAATGTGAGTCTGAGGGGGATGATTTGATCTTAGTGGAGTTCATGTTTGCATTTGGCAGAGGGCTGGCCCACAAGTAAGGACACACTAAGATGCTACTTGTTTCACCTGCATGAGTTCTGGCTTTTTAAGTCTTCCACTTGCACAGTGCTTGCTCTTTCCTGGGGCATCATTCAGGTGCTCTTTCATTTGTGAATCCTGAGGCCAGTAAGGCAGAATGAAGGTGTTAGTATATTTTCTTTTCCATTTCAGAGTTACTGAGACATTCACTTCCCTAAAGGCCAGTTCCAGTGTCACAATTAAAACTTTCCTGACCCAAGCCTTTTCTGCTTTGCCAACAAGAACAGAGACCACACATATCCTGTGCACCATTGCTGCACCTCGCACTCCATATACATTTGCTGCCTAAAAGAGCAGGCTAACTTGCTTTTTTAGGGTAAAATAATAAGTCTTCTTTCTAGGTGAACAGAAGATAGAAGATTTAACATTTTCTTCAGTTTTCAGAAAAATAGAAATGAAATATATCAACTCAAAAGAGTATATTCCTTCTGTGTTTTATGGCACCAAGAGTAGCTGGGATAATCCAATGTTTAATTCAAGCTCTCTTCTGCAATGAGATGTTGTGCTCATAATCTCCTTTCCTCTTTAACTCTATGGCACCCTGCATCGGATATTTCAGTTTACCTTCGGCTTTTAGCTAGGCTTTCTTCCCTACTCCAGCCTGCTCCTACCAGGAGATGGCAGAGAAAGTGGCTCAGTGGGCCTGCATAGCTGAGGACATCCCAAATCACTCTGCCAGCCACAGCCTAATTCTCTGTGGGGGTATGCTGCCCCCTGCTGGCCACAGACACTCTCTACTCTTATTGTCCAAAAAAAATCTCTCCCTTACACTATAAAGTCTTTAGCAAGGTGCTGGTGTGGTGGTTCATGCCTATAATCCTAGCACTCAGGAGGTTGAGATCTAAGGATCACAGTTCAAAGCCAGCCTGGGAAGGAAAGTCTCCTATCTCCAATAAACCACCAGAAAACCGGAAGTGGCGCTGTGGCTCAAGTGGTAGAGTGCTCGCCTTGAGCTGAAGAGCTGAGGGACAGCGCCCAGGCCCAGAGTTCAAGCCCCATGACCGACCAAAAAAAAAAAAAGTCCTGAATTTTGAAGCCTAAGGAAGCTAATACACCACACATTCCTTTTACAGTTTGTTCTCCTTTGCACTGTATAGTTAGTTGCTCAGATTATGGTGGGTCTTAAACCTCATCAAACAAGAAAACAAAAGGAAATGGAAAGAATTGTGACTTTTTTTTTGTCAGTCGTGGGGCTTGAACTCTGGGTCTGTCCACTGTCCCTCAGCTCTTCAGTTCAAGGCTAGCACACTCTACCACTTGAGCCACAGCACCACTTCCGGCTTTTTCTGTTTATGTGGTGCTGAGGAATCGAACCCAGGGCCTCATGCATGTGAGGCAAGCACGTTACTGCTGAGCCACCTTCCCAGCCCCTGTGACTTTATTTTTTGTCTCTTCTTTTACAGTGCTGGGGATTGATCCTAGAGCCTCATTTTTACCCCTGAGCTATATCCCAACACTGTGACTATTTTTAAATGCATCTTAGGGCTTATTGCTGTTGTTTTAGAAATGAAGTAAAAAGGAAATTTTAATCTCTTCAGCCAAATTTTCAATCCTTTCTTTACATTGTTTTATAAATGAAGTGAGAAGACAGGCTCTCCAGGAAGCTGATGGGATTAAAGAAAGGACCCTTGACATCTGTCCACACTGATGTTTCATATCTCTTTTTAGGGATTTAGCCTACAGATCAACTCCAGCAAATGCAAAAGGATTTATGTTCGAGGGTTCATTGCAGCATGTTTGTAACAGTAAAGGACTAGAGATCACGTAATTATCTAAAAATAGAGGTATACAGCAATGGCAGCATGTCTGCATGATAAAATATTATGAAGTTATTAAAATGCTACTCGCACAATATGTATCATGGAAGAAGGATATATATAACTGTGTATAATATTGTATTTTAAAATAACAAAAGCTGGGCTGGGAAGGTGGCTCAGTGGTAGAGCGCTTGCCTTGCATGCATGAGGCCCTGCATTTGATTCCTTAGCACCACATAAGCAGAAAAACCCGGAAGTGGCACTGTGGCTCATGTGGTGCTAGCCTTAAGCTGAAATGCTGAGGGATAGCGCCCAGGCCTAGAGTTCAGGCCCCATGACCAACAAAATAAATAAATTAAATTAAATAATAAAAGCTGTGTGCTGGTGGTTCATGCCTCAAATCCTAGCTCTGAGATGTGAGGATCATAGTTCAAAGCCAGCCCAGCAGAAAAGTGTCTGAGACTTTTATCTCCAATGAATCACTGAAAAGTGAAGTTGTAGGCTTGTAGCATAAGTGAAGCTGATGCTCAAGAAGTAGAATGCTAGCCTTGTACAAAAAAATAAAAAGCTCAAGGGCAGCCCTCTGGCCACGTTCAAACTCCAGGATTGGCACAAATAAATAAACAAACAAGTAAATATTTTTTTAAAGTCCAGTGCCAGTAGCTCATGCCTGTAATCCTACTTACCCAGGAGACTGAAATCTAAGGATCCCAGTTCAAAGCCATCCCAGGCAAGAAAGTTCATGAGACTCTTATTTCCAATAAATTATTTAAAAAAGAAAAAAAAGCCAGAAGTGGAGCTGTGGCTCAAATGGTAGACCACTAGCTTTGAGCATAAAAGAAGCTATGGACAGCTCCCAGGGCCTGAGTTCAAGCCCCAGGACTAATAGTAGTAAGTAAATAACAAGAGAGCCAGGGGCTGGTGGCTCACACCTGTAATCCTAGCTACTCAGAAGGCTAAGATCTGAGGATTCCTGTTCCAAGCCAGCAGGCAGATAAGTTATGATACTCTTATCTCCAATTGACTACTGAAAAGTCAGAAGTGGAGCTGTGGGTCAAGTGGTAGAGCACCAGACTGAGCAGAAAAAGCTAAGAGACCTGAGTTCAAGCCCCAGTACTGGCACAAAAATAAATTAAAAAAAAAACAACAGTCAGAGCTGGGCACCAGTGACTCATGCCTAAAATCCTAGCTCCTCAGGAGGATGAGATCTGAGGATCCCAGTTCCAAGCCAGCCCAGGCAGGAAAGTCCCTGTGAGACTCTTATCTTGCTAGGCAAGCACTCTACCACGCAGCCACATTCCCAGCCCTTGTTCATTTGTTTTTATGTGTTTTCAAGACAGGCCTGAGCCTGTCCAAGGCAGACCTTGAACTCTGAATCTCTTAAATGCTGGAATTTCAGGAGTGTTTCATGTCAGGCCTATTTGCAGACTTTGAGAAGTCCCTTCCAAATCCCTTACAATTCTAGAATGCACTAAGTATGGAAAGCAGACACTGGGTCTATCTGGTTTAATACAGTAGTAAGCTGTCACTCTTAGGAAACATTTTGTTCTAGTCACACAGCAAAATATGATCAAATGAATTTAATTAGTTGAGGTAAAGAATGAATCCATAAATCTCTAATTTTAAAAAAAGTTCCCAAAATTCTTTTGTATATTTGTCAGATAAGAGTAAGACAAGCCAGGCACCGCTGGATCACTCCTGGAGGCTGAGATCTGAGGATCACAGTTCAAAGCCAGCCTGGGCAGGAAATTTCGTGAGACTCTTATCTCCAATGAACCACTGGAAACTGGAAGTGGTGCTGTGGCTCAAGTGGTAGAGCACTTGCCTTGAGCTGAAGAGCTGAGGGACAGTACCCAGGCCCAGAGTTCAAGCTCCACAACCGACCAAAAAAATAAAATTTGTGTGTATGTGTGTGTGTGTGTGTGTGTGTGTGTGTGTGTGTGTGTGTAGCTTGAACTCAGGGCCTGGCCCTATCCCTGAGCATTTTTGCTCAAAGTTAGCACCTTGCCACTTGAACCACAGCTTTATTTCTAATTTTTTTGGAAGTTTATTGAAAAAAAGGTTCTCACAGACTTTCTTGCCTTGGCTGGCTTCAAAATGGGATCCTCAATCTCAGTTTCCTTAGTAGCTAGGAGTACAGGCGTGAGACTTCAGCACAGGCTCATTGTCAGAAATCTTTTTTTTTTTTTTTGGGCCTGGGCGCTGTCCCTCAGCTCTTCAGCTCAAGGCTAGCACTCTACCACTTGAGCCACAGCACCACTTCCAGCTTTTTTCTTATGTGGTACTGAGGAATCAAGCCCAGGGCCTTGAGCATGCAAGGCAAGTGCTCTACCGCTGAGCCACCTTCCCAGCCCAAGATTTTTTTTTTTGGGGGGGGGAGGTCCGGTCGTGGTGCCTGAACTCTGGGCCTGGGCGCTGTCCTTCAGCTCTTCAGCTCAAGGCTAGCACTCTACCACTTGAGCCACAGCACCACTTCCAGCTTTTTTCTTTTTTGCTTATGTGGTGCTGAGGAATCGAACCCAGGGCCTCATGCATGCAAGGCAAGCACTCTACCACTGAGCCACCTTCCCAGCCCCTCATTGTCAGAAATCTTAATCATAACAACATAGCGGTTCTGCAGAAAGGTGAGAAAAGTTAATTTACAAATAAGGTGCATGAATTATTTCACCAGCATCCTTCATATATGATCTGTGATTTCCTCACTGTTGAACTTGCTACCACACCCCCCACCCCCACCCCTCAGCAACAAACTGCCTTTGCTCTTTCTGTTCTCAGACCCTAGGGAGCCTGCTGGTCTCTCCCATCTTGAAAATAGCCTGGGTTCAACAGAGAACCACCTCCTCTCCAGGCTCGCCTAACTTCCAATCCATTTTAGGTCCATTATAAAGTTTTAGAATAGTAGCTTCCCTTGTCTCCCCACAAAGTGACCTTCTTCCAGATGGCTCAAACCTGTAATCCTCACTATTTCAGAGGCTGAGATCCGTGAATCCTGGTTCAAAACCAGCCAAGCAAACAAATTTGAGGCTTTTTATCACCAATTAACCTGCACAAAGCTTGAAGTAGATGCATGGCTCAAGTGGTAGAGCATCAGCCTTGAGCAAAAAAAAAGCTAAGTGAATTCTAAGCTGGGAATGCGGCTTACTGGTAGAGTGGTTGCCTAGCATGCATGAAGCCCTGGGTTAGATTCCTCAGTACCACACACACAGAAAAAGCTGGAAGTGGCGCTGTGGCTCAAGAGGTAGAGTGCTAGCCTTGAGCAAAAATGCTCAGGGACAGTGCCCAGACCCTGACTTCAAGCCCCATACCAAAAAAAAAAAAAAAAAATGGGCGCCAGTGGCTCACACCTGAATCCTAGCTACTCAGGAGGTTGAGATCTGAGCATTGAGGTTCAAAGTCAGCCGAGGCAGGAGAGCCCATGAGACTCTTATCTCCAATAAAACACCAGAAAACCAGAAGTGGTATTGTGGCTCAAGTGGCAGAGCACTGGCTTTGAGCTGAAGAGCTCAAGGACAGTGGCCAGCCTAGAGTTCAAGCCCCATGACCGACAAAAAAAAAAAAAAAACAGTCATAATAACAACCCCTAAAAGAGAAGAGGAGAGGGTAAGATTTTTGTAATAGCTAGGAAATAAGAAGCAAAACTGGTTGGACTTACTTAAGAGATTCACCAGGAAGAGAGAGAGAAGCAAGTTAAAGGATAGCAAAGGCACCTGGAAAAGCCAGGGATAATCTTGCTGCGTGCCAGATACATGCCAGCTGGGTGCTAAGTCTGCCCACATGTTCCTGCCACATTCTCCTGCAAAACGCACTGACCAAAGCCGTATAACGGAGATCGTTTAAACGAGGCTCTGATACTGTAAAGATCTCCAAATTCACTAACCAGGAACAAAACTGTTCCTGCCTCTCCCTTACTGACCCTCCCAATCACACCTCCACCTTCTCAGCACAGCCCACTTCTCAGCCTTCTAAGTAGCCAGGATTACAGGAGTGAGTCACCAGCACCTAGACATTATGTTTTATTTTATTTGTGGGGCCTGAACTCTGGGCCTGGGCGCTGTCCCTCAGCTCTTCAGCTCAAGGCTAGCGCCCTACCACTTGAGCCACAGAGCCACTTCCAGCTTTTTCTGCTTATGTAGTGCTGAGGAATTGAACCCAGGGCCTCATGCATGCAAGGCAAGCGCTCTACCACTGAGCCACCTTCCCAGCCCTATTATTTATTTTTGTTGACTATTTTAAGACTTAAACTCGAGGCCTGAGCACTGACCTGAGTTTTTTCACTCAGGGCTGGCATTCCTTCTCTTGAACCACAGCTCTATTTCTAACTTTTCAGTAGTTAATTGATAAGAAAGGTCTCATAGACTTTCCTGCCTTGGCTGGCTTTGAACCACAATCCTAAATCTCAGCCTCCTGAGTAGCTAGGATTACAGGTGCCCAACTCAATGTGTAAGGTTTTGTTTTTGCTAGTTCGGAGGTTTAAACTCAGGGCCTGGACCCTGTCCCTGAGCATTTTTGCTCAAGGTTAGTTCTCTACCACTTGGAGTCACAGGGCCACTTCCTGTTTTCTGGTGGTTAATTGCAGAGAAGAGTCTCACAGACTTTCCTGCCACAGTTGACTTTGAACTATGATCCTCAGACCTCAGCCTCCTGAGTGGCTAGGATTACAAGTGTAAGCCAGATGACTTTGAACTGTGATCCTCAGATCTCAGCCTCCTGAGTAGCTTAGGATTACAAGTGTGAGCCGCCAACATCCAGGTCAATGTGCAAGTTTAAAAAAAAATTGTATATTTCATTACAACACACATCCCAGACAGGCAGATGCTTGGACACCTGAGGAGGTGGTTGCTCCCTATACTAACAAAGCTGTGCTGGGGACAGGCGGCATTCACAGCACTACGCCCTCACACTCTAGCCCCATTCACATCCTAGATTGTACCGACAGAGATAGTCTCAGTTCTACACGTGACAATTAAAACTGCATGGCAGTGGATT